TATATACATAAAATATCTACTTTTGCGAAAAGACTATATGTTCACGTGCCCCATAATTTCCCATATAAATTCGCCCCAGACTACAACGAAGATCATTGGCATTTTAGCTGGGGTTTAGTTCAACTAGTGCATGAAACACCAGGTCTGTTTTGGCTAAACTTCTAAAATCAAATATTTTGAAAAGTATTTTTCATAAAATAATTTTGCTCATAAGTAATTTAAGTTTATATAATTAATTTATTTTTGGAGAATATCTGCTTTAGTTTTCGTGACAAAATATTTTTAAATTGTTTCTTTTTCTGGAAAACATTTTTGTTTTCACTTTATAAGTCTAAACTGTTTCTTTTATTAAAAGGACAAATTGTTCCTCTGTTTTGGCTAAACTTCTAAAATCAAATATTTTAAAAAGTATTTTTTATAAAATAATTTTGCTCATAAGTAATTTAAGTTTATATAATTAATTTATTTTTGGAGAATATCTGCTTTAGTTTTCGTGACAAACTATTTTTAAATTGTTTCTTTTTCTGGAAAACATTTTTGTTTTCACTTTATAAGTCTAAACTGTTTCTTTTATTAAAAGGACAAATTGTTTCTTTTTTTTGGGCACAGCATTTGTGGCCAGTGGGGGCAAAATGATTAAAAGAAAATAGTTAAACCACTCATATTATTCATTAAAAATGGGTTGGATAATGAAAATTTTTAAAAACGGATCAAATATAGATAAAAAACATATTATCCATTTAAAATATAGATAATCAATAGATAATCAATGGATAACTAATGAGTTTAACTTTTACATTTGTAAAATATCAAATTGGAGGTTCATTAAGTTTGGGAGACTAGGAAATCTTCAAAAGTAATCATACTAAAGAAAACATGGATAATATGGTTACTCATAATATGGATAAAAAATGAGTTAACCAACGGATAATATGTCATATTATTATCCGTTGGTTAACTTATTTTTTGGATCGAATCAAATAATTTATCTGTCTTTCATTACCCGTTTTCCACCAGACTCGCACGTTTGCCACACCTGTTTGTTTGTGGCTCATGTTGTGCTGAATGGCCAAAAAAGGACATCCTAATCTTTACCCCGTCTACGAAGCAACACGTCAGGGCTGATAGTTATATGGATATTACTGTCATATAATTCATGTCATAGGGGCATAATTGGCATTTCAATCTCCACAAAAAGAAACGTATGATGCTTGTTCTATTGAGGCCCATATTCCCCGACCCTTTACCGACTTATCTTTAATAATAAAATAAAATAAGATCCCCATTAAAAATACACCCTTTAACTTTTTCATTATTCTCTCTCACAAACCCCCTCATCCAAACACTCCCTTATGCCCCTCTCCCCATTTTCCATCATTTCCATTTCAGCTCATCAACTCAACAAATCAAAAATTACTCAATTTTTTCTCTCTAGAAAGCAAAACCAAAGCTAAGAAAACATGGCGCAGAAGAGAGAGAAAGAAGAGACGGAGTTGAAGGTTCCAGAAACCATACCTTTACGTACTCCGACTATTACGGGTACCGACGACCCGACCCATGCATCAGATCCGAAACTCCCTAACTTCAACGGGTCAAGACCTAGATCCGATCTAGTTTCTCAGCCACAGCCGGAGAAAAAGCCCGCCGGCGAGGATAATAACCGTCGATCGATGAAGCGGCTGAGGGAGGAAGCTAATCGGTGCTCGGGAATTGGTTGCCGGAGGAAAGTCGGATTGATCGGATTCCGGTGCCGGTGCGGTGAGGTATTTTGCTACGAGCATCGATATTCCGATCGACACAGCTGTAGTTACGATTACAAAGCAGCTGGTCGTGAAGCTATTGCTAGAGAAAATCCAGTTGTGAGAGCAGCGAAACTCGTCAAGGTATGAAGGGGGAGGGGGGTTACTGGGGTGGGTGGTTTAGGTAGGGTGGATGAGGAGAATGAATGATGTGTGGTGGGGGTGGGTTTGTGTTGTAACATTTGATAAAGAAATGAGGGTATTATTGTCATTGAAGTTATTATAAGTTAGTGGAAAGCCATTTTTCCTTTTCTTTAATTAAATTTTCTTCACACGTCAAAAAAAATTAATTTTTCTATTTTTTTAAATTCTCTTTTTCTAATTTATTTTGGAATTTTGTGTGGTTAATGTGTTTAATTTGTACTCTTTTGCAACTCCCACGATGAGATCCATGTGGTAATATATCACCATCAACAATGTGGATGGTCACAAAAGTCTAAAGAAAATGGAAAGTGGGCCAGTTGATTGCAGCTCTTTTTTGTCTTTTTAAGCCTTTCTATTATTTATATGAGGGTGGCTTCTCCTTTTTTTTACTTATATATTCCGTCATAAATAGTATTTCCTCGTTTTAATTTATATGAATTCATTTGCTTGATCTTTAAGAAAAGGAACAACTGAAACTTCACCCTAAGCATTCCAAAGATTTGCCCGCCATTGACAATCCAAGAGAAATGAAAAATTATTGGGTTCATTTTATTTTATTTTTTTTTTTTTTTTTTT